ACAAAAGTCTGAGGTTTCTATTATCTTTCCTGTTTTTCAAAGACTAGTTGAGAATCACTTTCAGACGAAAATTGGATCGTTATACTCTGATAATGGTGGTGAGTTTGTTCATCTTAAAAGTCTCTTACAGGATAATGGTATTTCCCACTTTTGACTCCCCCATATACACCTGAGCATAATGCCATTGCTGAGCGTCGCCATCGGCATATTGTCGAAACTGGCTTGACTCTTCTACATCAAGCTCATTTGCCTCTTGAATTCTGGTCCTATGCTTTCCATACAGCTGTTTATTTAATAAACAGGATGCCAACTCAAACACTACAAAATTACTCATACTCACTACTTCTTGAACACTTCACAACAAAGAACCAAACTATGCTAAATTGAAGAAAGTCTTTGGATGCTTGTGCTATCCGTGGCTTCGGCCATACAATTCTACTAAATTAGAAAGACGATCTACATCTTGTATATTTTTGGGCTATTCTGTCAACCAAAGTGCCTTTCAATGCTATGATCCGATTCAAAATAAGCTTTATATATCCAGACATGTAGACTTTGTCGAGTCTGTCTTTCCATATCCAACGTTAAAACAGTCTTCCAGTTCTTGTCCAACTTCTGAGTCCGTCGAATTATGGTCTCCAATTCATTATGTTGTGTCGTTTCCTTGTTGTCCGTCGAATTATGGTCTCCAATTCATTATGTTGTGTCGTTTCCTTGTTCTTCTAATAATTTGCAGGATTCTGGATTCCATTTTTCGGATTCTCGGCTATCACATCATACTTCCAATGAATTGCAATCTTCTGCGTTATGCAGCACAGGTATGGAACTCTTGACTTCACCTGTTGTTTCACTTGAATCTGCTGCTCCTGCACTTGAATCTGCTGCTTCTGCAATTAATATTGAACAGAATCTTGAACCTATCCCTGTGGTTCAATCGCGACATCAGAAGCTGAATCTTCATACAGTTGTTCCAGCACATCCAAAGCCGATTATTCCTAAGACTGTTGCACAAGCTTTGAAAGATCCTAGGTGGCGGCGAGCTATGGAGGAGGAATACAATGCTCTCATGAAACAAAAGACTTGGACATTAGTTTCCTCTAATCAAGCTTCAAACATAGTCAGCTGTAAGTGGTTGTTTCGCATAAAGTGTGATTCTAAAGGGGTTCCAGTGTGTTACAAAGCACGACTGGTGGCTCGCGGTTTTACTCAGCGACTAGGTTTGGATTATGATCAAACATTTGCACCAATAGCTAAACATCCGACAGTTCGTATTATTTTATCTCTTGCAGTTGTTCAAGGGTGGATATTGAGACAAGTTGACGTCAATAATGCTTTTCTTCATGGAAAATTAACGGAGGATGTTTTTATGGAGCAACCACATGGTTTTGTGGATGATACTCAGCCTAATTATGTTTGTCATCTTCAAAAATCGTTGTATGGGTTGAAACAGGCCCCTCGCACCTAGTATACTGAGTTGGTGACTGCTTTGTGTTCTTTTGGTTTCAAGCAATCCAAGGCTGATACTAGTCTATTTGTTTACTATTATGAGGGAGTTCTCATCTATTTATTAATTTATGTCGATGACATCATTATTACAGGGAGTGATACTAAGGTTGTTGAAAATTTTATTCAAACTTTCAGTCAACGTTTTTCAATTAAGGACCTTGGTGAGCTATTTTTAGGTGTTGAAGTTTCTCGAAATTCAACTGGTATTTTTCTATCTCAACAAACTTATGTTCAAGAACTCTTGGACAAAGTGAATATGGCTGGGTCCAAAGCTGCGCATTCTCCGATGACAACTTCGTTAACTCTAGCAAAAGATGACTCTGTTGAATATGATCAACCAACTCAGTATCGAATCGCTGACGAAACTTCGTCTAACTTCTAGCAAAAGATGACTACTGGCTGAAATATGAATGACAATCGCAACGTCAGTCGATACAAAGATGGTTATTGGCAGTCTCAATAATGCCACTGCTCACACGTCCCGAATATTGCGTTTGCAGTCAATAGATTAAAGCCCAATAGTTGGTTCCAAGCCGACTGTTAAACTTGGCTTGCTCATCTAAAACGCTTGTTGCGCATTTAAGTCTAAATTGGTACAAAAGTTCATATGCTGGAACTTTCAGTATTCAATGTCGAATTCTTCAATGGTGTCTTTCCATGGCTTATAATAGAGGTTGGGTTGCGGAACGTATAGATAGAATCGAATGTTCTACGCTTTGTTCTGGAGGGCATCATGGATATATTTATTGTGTAGAATACCTAAATTGCACATGGAGCTCCAAGAAACGCAAAATCTGTATGCTCGTTCTTCCACAGAGGGCGGGAGTATAACAAGGTCTGTCGGCATAACTCGGCTTTGATATTGACATGGATGCGAAAATTTGATTATCATGAAGTTGCAAGTGAGCTATTTGTTACAGGTGTAGCCTTGTTTATAGTATTGTGATAAACCATTGGGAGCTTAAATATGTTGCTTGAAAATCCTGTCTTCCAGCTCTCAGAGATGAACAATTTTAGCTCTTTGATCTATCAACTTTGTTTCGTACAGCAAGTTCAAAGAAGGTACACTTGCGAATTCAATAATTGTGCCTCCGAAAAGGGAATACAGCTCAGCAGAGCTTATTCTAACGAAAGCCTCTTGCCGAAGCTGGCATTTCTGAGACAAAGAAGCAAAGATTGGCATTCGCAGAACACGACTGCCATCTTGGCGCGGGGGTTGTATTGGGTAAGGATGAAAGTTCAGGTCAGCTAAAATAGGAAATTAACTAATTTCTGTTGTGTAGATAGAATTATGAACGTATTTGGAGTGTATTTGCTTATCATTAACGTGTATTATATACACTACTTGTATATTGTAATTATTCCATGTCAATATAATTATAAACCCTTTCTTATAAACCACTAAAGTAATACCTTGTTTTTGCGGCAACAAAAGATTATATGAATTTATCTTGGTTCATCATCGAATTTCTAAACTGTCGCATTGAATTAACAAGTTGCTATCTGAAGTTTATATGATTAGATGAATCTGGCATCAAGAACTGAGATTATCGATGAGTTTACTGCAGGTGGAGTTATATGGAAAGATATGTCATATTTATAATTGTAATAGCAAATTTTTCGTATTTTCAATCTAATAAATAAAGGTTTCTGAAACATATCTAAAGAAGATTTTTTTTTGTTTTTTCATTATGAACATATCTAAAAAGATTTTTTTTTTTTTCATTATAGCTCTAAAGATAAAGATAGCTTACAATTTGAGACAAACACAAACTGTTTATTAATTTAACTCGGAAAAATAAACTAATCTTATTTTATTATTATTCAACTTGCTATGTTGCATACATTTCACGAGAAAAATCGTAAGAAAAATAATCAACCTACAGTAAATAATAAGTAAACCATCAGTCAAATGGATAAAGCAATAGCAAATTAAACCATCAGTCAAATGGCTAAAGCAATAGCAAATTGGTGTTTTTATTTTAGAAGCCCATATGATCATATTGATTTGATGATATAAATAAGTTCAGTTTAAACTTAGCGCGAAACTTAGACTTCAATTAGAGCGAGGAATGAGTGCTTCTATTCATTTTATAATGTGTAATTAACTTTTTGATAAATAAGATAAGATGGATTTGCTCTAGTGTAGGAATATTCATAAATGAAAAGGATTAATATTAAAAATCACATAATCTATATCATGGTTTTTTTTTTATAGGCAAATATAAATGTTATTAAAAGGTAGAGAAGGGTATTTGCACACACAAGGAAGTATTTGCACACACAAGGAAAATACAAGAAAGCTGAAATAACCAACAAGACAAGGCAACTATAAATCAGCCAAAATACATGCTCCAAGCAAACATTAAGAAAGCAAGACAAGCAACTAAGAAGTGGACCAACTTGAACACAGCATCGCCAATAACTCAAAAACCAAGAGCCAGGCGAAGCAACAGAAATAATTTGTAACTGCATCGGAAATAAGCGCAGCGCACCGCCAATCAAAACACATCTTATATATCATGGTTTAATTTATAAGATTTTATGGAAACTAGCTTTTCCCAATTCATTTTTAAGATTTTCAAAAAAATAATAAGAGAAACAAAATCATAAATCAAAACTAAATTTCATTCACTTCAAAATTTAGACAATAGCTACGTTGCTGGCTAACATCTCCCTAACTCAAAATTTATTAGCACTACTACTCATTACCTAACTAAAACTAATTTGAATTGGAAAAGAAATTACAACCTAACTAACAACTAATTTGAATTGGAAAGGAACTTACATCAATCCCCATCATGGATAGTGATTGGCCCTCCTGATTGAGCAGAACGGCTTATAGAAGCAATTATAGGTCTTGATCTGCAGACTTTGACAAACATTAAACTCAAAGAGTTCTTATAACCTTCTGGCTACTTCTAGGCTTACAAAAACCCTGCTTAGAAGCCATCAATTCGATCTATATATATCTGTACACTTCCTAGTACACGAGGGGCTTGGAGTAAACAATTCATACTTCGCTTCCATCTCCTGGATCCAACATTTTTTCACGTCAACATCAAACTGAAAACTTTCCTTACAGGATAACGTTTGAATTAGTTTCGGACTGATGGACATGGAAGGCGCGAAAGAGTGTCTTCTTTGTAGTTCAAGCCTATGGCATGTTTGGATACTTGTTTAGTTTTATTTTATATTAACTGATGTTGTTGGAGGTGGTAACTTATAAGTGAAGTTAGTGTAGCTGAGTCCATACCCAAATGGGTAAACTGTAGAGCCATTAAAGAATTTGTAAGTTCGACCTGGATAGCTTAGTTCATCATTTGGCCTCAATTGTAGAGACGTCATTGGCAGTTGATCAACATAATCAGCTTGATGCCAAGTAAAAAAAAAAAAAAAAAAAAAGAAAGAAAAAGAAAAAAATTACTAAAATTATTAAAAACTGAAATTTCTTGGTTAAAAACTATTAATCAAGAAGAATTCAATTACCAGGATTGTATTTTCCAAAAACGACATCTGCAATGGCCCGACCACCTTCTTCTCCAGGGTATTCAGCCCACAAAATGGCTTTGATATTGTCATTGTTTTTAGCGAAAGTGATATCTATCCCTCCTGCTCACATGATTACGAGAATAACTGGACCTTTGGCAGCATTCGCAACATTGTTGATAAGTTCAGTTAGGTAACCAGGAAGGAGGAGATCCTCCCGATCTCTGGTTCGGCTTCAACAGACAAGTCAATGCCCGCTACTTATAGTAGCATCAGCTTCCTGCGCAACTTTCATTGCTGGGAATACCAATATGTCATCCCTACAAGCAACGTCGCATCCAATTGCATAACTCACTTTTGCATATGTCGAAAACCCATGGATAGGAGAGATATATCGGCATGGAATTCCTGTAAATCAAAATGTCCAGTTAATTAGATTTATAATACAACTGAACTGTATTTGTATTTATAAAAAATATGTACCTGCATAATTTCCAATCATAACCTTGGTAGCGTTAGCATGAGGACCAACCACAGCTAAGGTTTTGATCGTATCAGACTTCAAGGGCAAAGTATCATCGTTATTTTTGAGGAGGACAATTCCTTCCCTCGCTGCTTGTGCTGCTAATTCAATGTGTTGTTCGGAGCACACGTCTTTCAGGCCAAGAGATTGAAATTGAGGGATTCCATCAAAGAACCCTACTCTCAGAAGCACCACATAGAGATATTTAAGTGACGGAACACACGTCTTTGATGCCAAGAGATTGAAATTGAGGGATTCCATCAAAGAACCCTACTCTCAAAAGCACCACATAGAGATATTTTAGTGACCTGTCTATGTCTTCTTCCCCGACCTTTCCTTGCTTTACTGAAGCTTCAGTGTTTTCGGTGTAGTATTTTCCACAATCCAGATCCAAGCCTGCTTTCAGTGTTCTTGCAACTGCATCCTCCTTAGTGTCACCAAGAAATTTATGGCGTTCAACCATAACTTGGATGGAATCACAATCTGAGACTATATATCTGTCACAAAAACAATAAAATCGTAGTCAGTTGTATTATTTATTGAATAAAGAAATTAAATTAAATCAACCTCATCATATCTTCTTTACCCATGAAGATTCCAGTCTCCTCTGATAGTTTGATTTAGGAGTTTCGGATCAGCACAAGCAGGTATGCCATTAACACGATTGAAAGAGCACATAATACTGCTCACATCACCTTCTCTAATACACATCTCGAAAGGTCGATTAAAGGTTTCTACCATATCTTGTTCATTCACCTGAACACATTCAGTTATAACTTTAATTAATTATCACAAAGATGATTTTAAATTTTTGAAAAAAACGAACAAAGGTTTTTCTTTAAGAAAATTACTCTAGCATCAAAGATATAGCGTTCAATGTTCTTCCAATTTTCAAGATCATAGGCAGTAAAGTGCTTGCAACATGAGGAAACTTTAAGAGGTCTGGAGTCTGGATCCGGGTGATTTTCAGTCCCCTCAACGTCCTGTAAGCCTCTTACAAAATTAGAAGCATATCTACCTACAATGAAAGGATCTTCTCCAGGTGTTTCAGCATATCTACTACAATGAAAGGAATCTTCTTCCAGGTGTTGTTTTCAATGATCTTCCCCATCGAGGATCCTTAACACATTAATAACGGGCTCCAGAAAGTTAATCCGGCCGACCTAAATTGTAACATTGCTCTTTGCTTCGTCGAAAACAACACTGCATTGTTAAATATTTACATTAATAGGCTAACGTAGTTTTGAGACTTTTATGCTAGGGCAACAACAGCAACAAAACTAATTACCTGACCAATAGTTTTCCATAAAGACTCGTTAAAAGCAGCTGTTGTGAGTATTACAGTAGGGAAGCTAGTTGCACCAGGAACAACTTCGTCAAAGAAAGTTCCTGGGCCCGTCTTGGACACACCATGCAAGGCTTCAGACCACCAATTATATTTGGGTAATCCTAACCTAGGCACACCATAAGCCTCATGTCCAAGCTGTTGAACCTTTTCTTGCAATGTCATATGGTTTACCAAGTCTCTAGCCCTAGCATCATAAGGAAGGGACTTGTCGCAGAAGGCAAAATTTGCCATGTCCTTTGCCATGTCCAATCCAAGGGCCGCATACCTAGAAGGGTCACAGACATAAGTGAAGTTAAGTCGCCAGTAAATGGGAAACATATCTTCCGCCACCTGTGGTGGCATCTAAATGCTTTTTCCAGTCCAATGTCTAGCTTGCTGCAGTAGAAATCGGCAAAGAAAGCCAACACATATAAAGATTTGATAATGAGAATAAGAACCTAAGCTTTTCAGCCATGGGCCTTTTTTAGATTTTGCCGAGGTGCTTATGGTTCTAAAACCTGGTTGATGCTTATTTATAGGCAATTCCTTGATTTTTGTTTCAATAGTTGGTTTTCCAAATCTTTTTGAAACTTTTCTAAGCTAGCTGTTGGAGGTAAGATTCAATATATATTTTTTTTCAAGTTTAAGATTATATTTGTTGTCTTTTTTTATTAATTAAAAAAAAAAAGAATTAAATTATGTTATGTTTAATTCCAATTTATACCCATTCTGAATAAAGGAAAAAATCTTTTTGCTTTTCCACTTATCCAATTATGGTCCAATCTGTTTTGTTGTTTTGGAAAATCTTTCTCCCCAATTATACCATTCCTGATAAAAGGAAAATCTTTTGCTTTTCCAATTATCCAATTATCCAATCTGTTGTTGTTTGGAAAATCTCCAATTATACCATTCCTGATAAAAGGAAAATCTTTTGCTTTTCCAATTATCCAATTATCCAATCTGTTGTTGTTTGGAAAATCTTTCTCTTACATATTTATCCACTGATATGATTTGGAAGCGAAAAGTTCTTTAATCTTTTGCTTTATTTTTTTAATGAAAATCTTTTTCTTGAGAGAGAGAGAATTTAATAAAAATTTTTGGTTCTCTTTCCTTAAAATAGAAATCTTTTAAAGTAAATTTTTAGAAATTATTTACTTGTCAGACACACGAGACAAGTAAATATCCTATATATATATATATAAGTGTTTAGTTTTACTTATTATATAGATAGCATAGTTAATCTATGTGATTTTTTTTGGATAAAAATTATTAATACTCTGATAAATCTTTTCTTTCTATTTGATTTTTTCTAAGTTTTTTTCTCCACACCCTATGTAAGTGGAACACATAATAATTGATTTAATATTATGTATCATATATTATATTCTGAAAATAACTTTTGGCTTTATTAGAGTATCCATCATATGTAATTTTTTTCAAATGAGACAAGTAACTACCCTATATATGTTTTTTATTTATTGGTTTTACATATTGTATAGATGGCATAATAAATCCCTGCGACTTTTTTTCGCTTTAATGAAACCTTTTATATAAATTATATTGGCGAATTAATTAGAAACAGGGTTACCGATCAGGGTAGCGTCAAGGAATCATGACTCAAGGAACCTACTTGATTTGAGTTTCTCAATTGCTTGGTGAAATATTAAGGAATTTGCCTTGATTTATGATAAATATTTCTAACTCTTTTTTCAACTTTTTATGTTCTGTAAATCTTCACAAGAGTTTATTTATTTATTGATTCATTTTGTTCTTACATGTAAGTATTTTTATTATGAATTCTATTTATTAAAGAAAGAAGAAGAAGAAAAGTAATTCGTATATATTTCCAATTAGCTAGTATATCTTCGGAGAAAAAAAATGACTAATTATTTGCATCCGCAATTTGTTGAGTTCATTTTATACATTATATTCTCTTTCGATGTGAACGGCGTTTTATCACCTTCAGAGTGATTGCGGTTTGTAATTCATATTAGTTTAAGATGGTTATTGCGTTTGATTTTTTTTTTTTTTAGTCTATTAACCGTTCATTTACTCCTCGAAAAATATAATATTGTCCAAACAGATTAATAGTTTATTGGTATTTGATAGTGAAAGCATTAAGGACAATGGCATGTCTATCAGGACCTTCTTGATTTAAATTTTCTTTTGCCAATCTAGTTGTTTTAATCTTATTTAAAATAATTGCTTACTTTTTATTTTTAGAGTTAAATAATATTAATCTTTCCATTTCAAAATGTGTTGTTTTTTTAGGTTGGCACATGGATAAGGAATACAATTACTAGTCTAAATGGCATTAAGGAATACAATTACTAGTTAAATAATATTAATCTTATTTGATAGTGAAAGCATTAAGGACAATGGCATGTCTATCGGGACCTTCTTGATTTAAATTTTCTTTTGCCAATCTAGTTGTTTTAATCTTATTTGAAATAATTGTTTACTTTTTATTTTTAGAGTTAAATAATATTAATCTTTCCATTTCAAAACGAGTGTTGTTTTTTTAGCTCGGCACATGAATTAAGGAATACAATTGCAGTCTAAATTTTACAAAAATTAGTTTCTGAAATGTCTATTCAGAAACTAAATAAATTAAATTAAATTAAGGAAGTAATTGGGGAATAAATAAATTATGAGTAGAATACAAAACTAATGAAAGTAGATTAGGAAACAAAAAATTAAGGGAAAATTATAATCATACCCTTGTATTTTATAAAAAAAAAAAAAGAAGAAGAACTTCATTACCCTTGTATTTTTAAAAATAGACTACTATACTATTGTATTTTCTTTCAGTTATACCATCTTTCCATCCAGTCAATTTTTTACGATTTTAAAGCATAAGTCAAACAAAACTTAACAGTCTAAGGAGAGAGAAATTTTTTTCACCAAAATTTCCTCTTCTTCTTCCTCTATTTCTTTCCAGTTAAACAAGCCTAAATCACATGATCCAAATCCGTGTTTGAAACTCAACAATGATAATTTGATTTACTACCTCATTCGCTGGAAACACAAGTTTAAATGTTGAATGTCCATAACATTGTTTATTGCCTCATTCGCAAAAATTGGAGCATTGTTTGTTGTTTTGAAGATATTATAATAAAGCTTTGTGCAATTCGAAAAATGATAATGTTTACTTTTCCATGTGATTTCGTATATTAATAACATAGTAACAAGAAAATGTTTTGGTTTTTATCATATTATTGTGTTTCGTTGTGCATTTCATATTTGTGGATCAAATAGAGAGAGGAAAAAGTTGTCATAGTAGGAAAAAAGTTTTCACTTTGGAGATAAACTAATTTTTTGCCTTTTTTCTAATTTACTTTTCCTTAATTTAGTCACTTATAGAGCTGAAATAAATGTCAATAATATCATTGATGATATATTTTTCCATTCTTTTTTTCCAAAATTAGTATCACTAATATTATTTTTTTCTCATGGTGATTAATTAAAGAAGCAACTAATTTCTCTAAATTATAATAAGCTATGCATTAATTTGACTAAATTATCTTGTATCTCACATTATTATTTTAGTTATTATTTTTAATATAACTAATTGTAAAATTAAAAAAAATTCATTAATATTAATAAACTTGTCGTGCACCCGTGCATTGCATGGATTATAATATAAAATTTTATTCAAATTAATAAATACTTTATTATTAATTACCTATAGTAAGATTTTATTACTAAAATGAAATTTAAATTAATAATCAAAAGTATGAGAATCTTAAATTTGAAATTTAACATATGGATAATTATTTGTTTTTTTAATTTTGGTTCATTATTACATTATTTGTAAAAAAATCTATGTACCAAAGGCAACCTCTTTTTATTGTTGCTGCTTATTGGAGATAATAACAGATTGAGATATTCTTGGCTAGAGTTTATTAAGTTTGAATGAGTTTGTATCTATGTAATCCCTGAGTTTTAGGGACTAACTATGTATATATATATGTTGTATCTCTTTATTGGAAACACATACAAAAACACTTTTCTATCGAATGCAAGTTTTGTAAATCTAATGTAAAATCCCTGAGTTTTAGGGACTAACTATGTATATATATATGTTGTATCTCTTTATTGGAAACACATACAAAAACACTTTTCTATCTCCTTCAATTTGGTATCACAGCCATCTAACATCTCACGATGGCCACTACCCAACAAAACACTGATTCTATCTCTTCCTCTCTTCAATCTCCACTATCAGCTATTTCTCTTCAAGCTCCAAATCTTTTTTCTGCGCCACCTCACGCACAACTTTCTTTCTCCTTAAAGTTGAAAGAAACAAATTATTTAGCTTGGAAAACCCAATTTTAGAAACAAATTATTTAGCTTGGAAAACCCAATTTTTACCTATCATCAAATGCTACAATCTAAAACGGCATATTGATGGAACACCACCTCCTGCTCCTTTTGTTACCAATTCAACAACGCAGCAGTTGGATCCTAATCCAGATTATTTCAAATGGGAGCAAGAGGATCAACTCCTTCTTAGCTGGATCTGTTCTTCCTTGACTGAGGAAGTTATGCCCTATGTTACTGGAATTGACACTGCTTGTGAGGCTTAGGACTCTCTGTCTGATGCGTTTGGAACAACCAGGACTCTCTGTCTGATGCGTTTGGAACAACCAACAGTGCCAAACGAGTACAGCTTCACATTTCTCTACAGAATCTGACCTTAGGAGACAAACCTATCTCCCAATTTCTGCGTGAAGCTAAAGCAATTGCTGATGAGTTAGCTGTTGCTGGAACGCCTATTTCTACCGATAAGTTCAACGCCACTATTTTTCGATTGTTAACTCCGGAATATCATCCGGTTATTGGACTCTCTCTGCAAGCAAAACGAAGGTATCCTTCTCTGAACTTTCTGGTCAGCTATTGGCTCATGAGATTCTTCTGCAGGGATCCAATCGCACATCGCCGATTCATGCCAATGTCGCATGGCAAAGCAATTATGGATCAAAATCTTATAATCAACGGCGAGGGAACAATTCCCGCAATTTCACTTCTGCTTCAAAGGGTTCTGCTTCAAAGGGTTCGAAAAAGTGGTACTCTAATCCTTGCCAAATTTGTGGCCTTAATAATCATCAAGCCAAATGGTGTCGAAAGCGTTATGATAAAGATGAACAACAGATTTTCGCTAATACAGCTCATGTTTCAGACTCTTCAGATTCAAGCACTTGGTTTGCTGACTCTGCAACTTCTCATCACATGACGCCAGATTTATCCGCTCTTGAACTTTCAGATGAGTATAAAGGACCTGATAAAGTTACTATAGGTAATGGTTCTGGTTTACACATAACTCATGTTGGTACACGGACCATTCCCACTTCTGTTGCACA